CAGGGGAGAAGCTGTCTTTGTTGGATATCTGTCAACATCTCCCCACAGTGCTGTGGCTACTCATTAATGCAGGCCTTATCAATAACTGAAGCCTCAGGAGGGAGGGGGGGGGCGACTGAGAGGCACAATATCTTCAGCTACGTCACCTTTGATTTACATAAGTGAAGAAACAAATTGGCATGTTGATTGACAGTTGAATTAAATAAGTGTTCCGGCTCCACAGCTGTGACACACACACACACACACACACACACACACAGACACACACACACACACAGAGTACATAGCAGCACAGTGCAGTGTTGTCACCTAGTAATCATTAATTTACGAGCACCCACTGGCACACAACCAACATATAGCGAACATATATATCCAATGACTACCACACATGCTCACATTTGTGTACATACACATCCAGTTCACTCACACACACACACACAGACACACACACACACAGGGTTTTATTCCTTAATGAGCAGATACATTAAACACCATCATGGGAGAACCAATAAATACCCATCCAATCGCTCTCAAAGTGGGGAGAAGGAAGCAATCTTGTCCCTGACAGCTTAGAGTCGGAGAGGGGGAGACGGGGGAAGGGAGAGTGGGGGGAGGAAAACAGAGCTTCATATCAGCACCATCAGTGGCTGTTTTCTTTTGCTTTTCATTTGGACTGCAAATAAATAAATAAGCCAACAGTTTTCCAGTACACCGAACTAGCTATAAACTAATCAGCCTTTTAATCGGCACAATGATAAATAAGATAACTCTACCCACTGCTGTGTTTTTAAATTGCCTATTCATCTACAGGGCAGGCTTTAGGGGAAATATTTAGTGCAGAGGCTGTGCTTCATAGTCACATAATGTAACTTAAACTGTGTTCTCGATGCTTTGTTTGTACATGTTGGCGGGGGGTCTCTGTCAGCATCGAACATCTGTGTTGAAAATATAAATCTGATCACATCTGTAGTACTAAGACAATATCACAGTGACTGCTTGTGTATTATTGGTATCAGTGCACTATGTGATAGATTAATATTGTGTTGTGCTGAAATGAAAACAAAGAGAAACCAAGCTGTGAATATGTGTCTGCTGGAGGAATGATTACAGTGCATGTGCAGAGTTTAGTCATTGCTCCTGTGGTAAATATATTATATAAAAGAGCCATATTTTCTTTCAGGTGCTATTTTCCACTTAGGTCTTTTGCTCGCTCCCCTGCAGTCTTTATTCTGTGGATATGAAATATGTAACATCATTGGTTTCATTCACATATTTGTTCAAATGACAAGTCTTGATCATTTAGTGTCTTTGTGTAGCTGCTCTTCATTACTTTTTAGCATAGCAGGATATTTTTATAAAATGCTACAGTACTTGAACATTACTTTTCAACTTGGAGGCAAGATGGAGTTGTGTTACCACTGGAGGACAGTGGTGGAATAAAAAAAATGATGTTATGAAGGGAGAAGAGGGTTTTTCATCAGTGATGGATTCAAACTCTTATATTCCCTTTGAAGATTTAATTAATGACCGTCATGATTAATGCTTGTCCCCATTCCTCACAGCGAGTCCCCTATAATAAAAATTTGAATTAATTTCATCATTTATCAAAAAACGTTTGCTTACCTAATAATTTGTGACAGAGCACAAGCACTGGATGAAAAGACATTAGGTTGGGACTCTTATTAAATTCCCATTTGCCCACAAGTCTTATGTGAAGCATTCCTCTGAATATCCCTTCAATCATCCATGTAGATGTAATCAATGAAATGCATATGGAGTCAGTGCTGATCTGCTTCTCATTTTGGTTGTGTGGTGTATTGAACCAATTTAATTTTCTCTATGCATAAGGGGTAATAATTAAGTGATATATTTATTACTGTACCAGTAATAACAATATGTGATTTATTATTTGTGGTAAGGTCCTTGTGTTATGGTAACCCTAATGTTAATGCAGCTAAATTAAATTTAGAATTGTGCTGTGCTGGAAATGTTACTGGGTCAGACATTATTCAGAAAATCATTACATTTGCAATCATGTATATGATGATGTGCATTTCTGAAGGGGACTGACACTACATCAGGGGTTATTTGTGTCGATCAGCGTCATGAAACTGTTCCTGCCAGGCCGTTCGCTGCCTGTTTCACATTTCTGACATCTCTCTGCCTCATATCGTAGTCATTGAATGTTCAAAGCGCCATTTACAAGCGGCCAGTCTCAAAAATAATCAGTAAATGCAACACAGTAACGTCACAACATGACAAATGGAGGCAGAGGTGGTGGGAAACATTTCCCCTTCATGCACAACAATCAGTGCAAGAACTGAGACCACAGGAAACATTAACCTCTATCTCACATGATTTTACACTGAATGCTTCCTGGTCGCTTGTTATTTAGGTTGACTTTTGAATATGATTCATCAAGATGCTGCACATAGGTATGAGCTCCTGTGACAAGACAGCTCAGTGTACCCTGTCACCCTAATGGTGCGAGACACATGTACAGTGGATTTATATTCCACATAAATCTTTGACTCAGATGATAGCTAAAGGATTAAGATGGCGATGAAAGATCCGGATTGCCTGCTATGTCTTTTAAACGATTCATTTAAAGAGGTATTGACATTGTAACCGCTTTGAGGAACAGGCTCATTCATCTGCCGTCTCAGATGATGCATATTAATCACATGAATGACCTACCTAGTGCACCTGGAAGATGCAGCAGTGCGCTGTGTCTTCATGGAAGCATGTACATGTGGTTATTCAACTGTGTGTGTGTGTGAGAGTGTGCATGTGTGTGTGTCTGCGCGCACGCTTGTAATCTCGTGAAGCAGAACCAGCAGTGATAGCATGAGGGACACACACATGCCCTAGATAGTTGTTTGAACCTAATCTAGGCCATCCTCATTTCCCCTCGACACGTGACGAGCACCGCAGGTAGCACGCACACGCACACACACACACACACACATGCACAGATTAAAACACTCAGAAAAAAAGATACCAAAACATTGCAGGAAGCAGACATAAAAAAAAACCTGCTGCATGCCGCAGAGCCGCAAAATCTAGTGCCTGTATAATGTTTTCGGGAAAGCTCTGGATGTTGTGGGCCAGGGGAGACACTGACATACATGAGAAGAGCAGGAAGAGAGAGGGAGAGCGCTAGAGAGAGAGGGAGGGAGAGAGAGAGAGAGCGAGGGCGACAGAGAGAAGAGAAGAAAGAGTGTATGGTGAGGTAACTCAAGGACATTCTGCCTGCTGCTGAGCCTTGCTGCTACAGAGCATGCTGCAGACTAGCAAAAGCTTTCCTTTTGGGCAGTATTATGTAAGACCTCAGTGTGACAGACAGATACACACCACATACACACTCGCAAGGACACACACACACACACACACAGACACACACACACACACACACATAGGCCAATCCCTGTGCATGCATACACATACACACACGCAAAAATAGACCCACAGTGACAAATTCATCACACACGCAGGAGGGCACAACGCACACACTTGTTGACACACATTCAGAGCACGTACATCTAAATTCACAGTGAGTCTTGTGCTTGAAATTCTGCTGCAGCCAGCCACAATTGATTAGAGCTTGTGTTCCCCTCATAGGTGCAGAGTAAGAACAGAATAAAAAAATACTGTGCAGTAAAATTTGTCAATCAGTTTTCTTCTAGAAATTAAATATCCTTTAATGCAACAGTTTGAAATTTTGGCCACTACTCTTATGAGATTCTTTCCTGAGACTTAGATGAGAATATCAATACTCCTCTGTCATCACTGTGAGGTTGCCAGGCAACCAGCAGTGACACCATGAAGTCAGCGCGCTCTGCAAAGCTTAATAAGACATTTCACAGCATCTTGTCCTTTTGTAATTTTCTCTTGGAGAAACAACGTGTTAATCAGTAAGATTTAGAGGTGTTGGTATTTTTGAGCTGTTGTCGGAGCCAGGATCTGTTCCTCACTTCTTCTTGTGCGTGGTTAGTCACTGCTGTTCATCTACTAAAGCAAATGCAAGCAATCTCTAAACTTTGAGTGCTTTTTGTGCATATCAGAGATGGTTTCTTCAGCTTTGCTTGTCCTTGATTGTTAGTCATCAAGTCGTCAAACTCAATCAATATTCTGTCGTATCACGAGGCAACAGACCACAGGGCCACGGCCTGTTTTTTCCAGAGGCAGCCTCATAAACAAGTCTTTTATAACGGATGTAAATGTATTGTTCACACAGCTGCACGCAGCTCTTATTCCACTGTATGTGGAGAAGCTGTATATCTCAGTTTCCTACAGTCATTCATCTCTGGATCTAAAATCCAAATACAGTCTGAGGACACCATATAATATAATATCTCTGTGTTTGCAGTGAATATGTAACAGTATCTTCTGTTGATACAAGAGATTAATTAAAAACATACCATCTTAGAATGCAAACCAGTGAAACTTCACGATGTAATATTCCAACTATATCCCACTTATTATGCTTTGAATGAAGATATATAGCTCAACATTATGCAGAACATGTCTAATGTGTCTTCATCAGTTTATTATACTGGAGCAGCTGTAGAGAGATGTTGATTGAACTGTAAGATAACCATGGAGGCTAAAGTCTGTTACAGAATGTGCTCCAATTATTTTGTCCACCCCATTTATATCAATAAGGGTAGGCTACATAACAGAAACACCTCTTTGTATATTGCAATAAAGTTTGACAGCAGCACAAACTACATAATCTAAAATGATGTACGGTTGAATCAACACCTCCCTAAAACAATTTCAATAAATAGCTGAACATTATAACCTTCATGCAGGTAGGATTTATTGTAGTACTATAGCAACAGACTGTATTATTTTTAGCTAGGCTTTATAATATACAGCCAAATGTGCGTACTGTGTATTCCACATTGATTTTTCTAAGAACAGATCTGAAACCTTCTGGTGATGAGTTCCTTTCTTTACCCTCAGATGTATGAAAGAGGAGAGAGCGGACGACTCACCAAAGACAGTCCTGGCAGGGACGGACTCTCTGTTGAGCCAGAACGACACTTGGGAGAGGATGACAGTCATGATGCAGGGTAGATATGTTTGGATCACAAAGTAACCAATTTTCCTCTTGAGGTGGAAGTGGGTTGTCATCACAACGTATTCTCCTGCGGTCAGCAGACGAGACAGCGAGTCAGGACCAATGCACAGACTTTTTTACAATACCGTTACAATATATATATCCAGGACATCTATCGTACCTGTCCCTGTACTGTAATGTGTTTCTAAATTGTTTGTTGTGTTGTGGCATTCAGTTTTATTGTAGTTGAGATTTATCGGCACAGTTGTGGGCGTCATTTGTTCAACAAACTCAATACCCTGGCATGATCCATTTCATCAGTGTGTACAGGCCCGGTTACAGGGAGAATACAACTCACAGGAACAGCGCTGGGGTTTAATCTGGATAGAACAATATGCTGGTTTTGAGCTTTTCCAGAGACACATGTGACTGTATCAATGAAAATAGAGGAATACACGGATGCAGTCACGCATCAACATGGCTTATTCAGTGACACTTGGAAGATACAGTGTCTTGGGAGCTTGTTACTGATAAAGCAAAGCGTGACTTGGGGGATAGGGCTGTTAAACCCATTGCTCTCTGTCTGCAGTTGTAAAGCATCACTGCAAACAGGTCACTCATTTCATGCCGTCACTAATTTTTGCAAGTATCAATGGACCAAAAAGAGGAGGAGGTGTAAAAAAAGATGTAATGGCCAGTAGAGAAATGATGAATCTGGGACATAGCTTGACTTCAGTGTTGCAACAAAACAATGCCAGATGACCTGATGCAGCTGTGACATCATTTGCAGTTTCAGATCATTCATTTGTACATTGATGATTGATGATTAGATCTTAGCTGACTTGATTCAGTAATGCAGCGTAAACACATAAATGTTAAATCAAATTAAAAGTGTGTGGTAACCTACCCGTGCTGGACTGCACCACACCAGAATCCACACTCTGTCCCATCAGATCGTACTGGTTTAACCTGGACCCGTCCTCAGCCACCACCACTGACTGGGCAGCTCCTCTGGTCCACACGTACACCACCTCTGCTCGAGTGTAGGCATCTGGCCGCGGTGAACAGAGAGAAAAAGTTATAAATTATTTTGCTTGTGGTTGCCTCGTGTCATGTTGCCTCGCAGGTTTATATTTTTGGAGCGTCTAGGGATGCCAGGTGGAAAAAAAAAGACATCAGAAATCAGGTCTCCCACTAAACTCCTCTAGTTTTGTCTTCCCTCATCTCATTTTGTCTCTCATCTTGTCGAATCTTCGACAAGATGAGAAACGCTCCCTGTCTTGTTTTCTTATCTAAACTCATATGTTTGTGTTTCTTGTCAAACACTTTCGGATTTTATGATGTGACACGATGTCATGTCAGATCGCATCATTCAATCAGCTTACAGGAAAACAAACAAACAACCTCCCGACAGGACAACATGACCTCGAAACAGCCAAGTCAGTCTTCCGTTCCCTCCGGCCACCCAACCTGTCAAAGCTGCGGTGTGGCCGGACCACTGCAGAGGAAAGGATGGCTCGACTGCAGACTGCAGCATAAGGGAGAGAGAGCTCATCACTGAAATATTTAGGGAGTGAGTTCAATTTAAAGGAGGTTGAAGCCCGGTCCGCTCACTCACGCTGTGCAGCTGTCTGCAGAATGGCACTGTGACATTAACTTTTCTGTTTCTGCTCTCCAGCCTTCTACATCCCAGTTCTTCCTCTCGTTCTCTATTCTCGTCTCCACCCTCCATCACTCTATTTCTTGTTGTGGATGTTGCAGGGTTAGGGGTAGCTGTCAGCGGTGAGCAGCTGGTGCGATGCTCTAGAAATATTAGTGAGAGGGCTGCCTTGGATAAACACAGGTCTGTGTGCAACACGCCTGCCGGGGTCTTGCAGGGTCTTACAGGGCCTGGCAGGGTTGAATGGGGGGGACCAGAGGGGCCTTGGAGGACAGTCCCTCTGGGAGAACAGCTGTTACCACACTGTCATCCCTTATCAAGGACTGGTGCTGGGGTCATGCTTCCCGTCGGATGAGGTAGTGACAGCGTGTCAGAGAGGCGTGTGTGTGTGTGGCTGTGCAGTGAGTTCATGAGCGTTTACCCGCATGTATGCTGGGTTGTGTATGACTACAGAGGCCACTTACAGCTGCCAAACTTCAGTGGACAAGCATGGGCATCCATTGGGAAGTCCTCCAGGTGCATGGGACATTCTGCTCTGACTGTAAGCCTAGAGAAATTCACACAGACAAAACAAAATAGATCAACAAGAAGGAGAAGGACGACAGAGCTTGTGGCAAAAGCAGAAGGAAAGAAAATGCATTGTCCTTTTTTTCCCCATCAAATACAGTCAAACTGCATCTTCTTTATTTAAAACTGAGAGAAAACAGCTCCAGTTCTCTGAGCTGTGGTTTTTTATTTATTTCCTGACAGCTTGGTGAAAAACAGCATGTCAGGCCACCCGTGACACACTAATCTCCCATCCATCTCACATCTCGCTCATCTGTGACAGCCATGTGGGCTCGGCCGCTACCCCCTCCCCCTGCTAGTAAACATGAAAAAACAAATGTTTTACTGTCCGTACCTTAGACATCTCACATCTGCATCAGGGTTTGTATTGTGATTAACTGTTTTATTTTACCTCCTCTGAGGTGCTATGTGTGGTTCTAAACACGACTCAGCTACTTTAATGAATTATTATTCATGTGCAGTGTGCGATGCACAAGACGTATGAATGGCTGACCATAATCTCTGAAGAACAATAAAAAGGAAACATAACATTGGAAAGAACAATATAAATATGATACATTTCAATAAATTAAAAAATGATTATAAGCACATCAGTAAACAATATCTGTGGACGTGGTTACATGTTCCATCATTACATTAAAACTCAAAAATCGTTTACAACAAATGCTCTACTTACTTCAGTTTGAGTAACACTTGCTTAAAGAAAAATCTAGAATGTTGTGAGCTGAAATCACTGTCACCATCATCAGCCATGTTTCAATTCATTATTTGCTGTTTATTCATAATATTACATCAATCACCCGCCCTGCTGTTCAGATATTTATCGTGAGCACTTCCGCTGGTATTAAAATACAAATGCTTTTTTTTCCTGCAAATCCTCTGGCTCGCTCAGCAACATGGAACATGACAGCCTACCTCATGGTGTACAGCAGCGTGCCTTCCTCTGTAATTCGCAGCAGCTTGTTTGGCATGGTCATGTTGTGGGCCACAGACTTCTTGCCATTGTGGAAGAAGGTATCGGGGGTCCAGATCTTGCTGGCCATCAGGTTGTTGAGACGCAGTACGGCCATTGGGCCTTTGAACTTTAGTCTTTCATCCTTCCAGCTCTGTCTGAAGAAGACATCAATGGTGTACTCCTACAGGTGGACGGTGAGAAGTGGAGAAAACGTGAAGTCAATAAAGACGGTGACAAAGAGAGAAAGCTAGACAGCAACCTTGTTTCATTTTATTTTACAGTTATCTAGTAAGTGGCTGAGTAATACACCCTTCTTTTATTTCATTTCACCATTTTTGTGTTCACACATTTTCCATTTTTTCCTCCCGTGTCACTTAAACTATCTTATTTTTGGCCTGTTTTTTCCTGCTGGTAGCTGTCTCTTCCTGTTAAAGGTTTTCTTTTTAGCAGGGAGGCTCTAAGTGCATAGAGGTGAAAGGGTTTTTCTAGCTGGTTGTCTTTACTAAAATAACGCTTCCATTTTTAGAGAACAGTGTGATAGCATCCCTTTTTTATTGCATTTCATTTGATCATTTAAATTGTTGTGGCATGGGGTCTTTCTGTTCGGCGTCGCATGTTCTGCCTGTTCCTGTGTAGGAGAAGCAGTTCCTCTTGGTTCTACACTTCCTCCCACAGTCCAAAGACAGTCAGAATGGTATTGGTGGTTGGTCATTTCGTATTGGGCTTCAAGTGACGAAAATGACCATTGTTAGCATTTATATTTGGAGAAACCGCTTTGCCTGGTAATCTAAATTACACTTGACACAAAAGGGAAGCCCTGGATATAAAATTAGGATGACGTCTCATTTTGAAGGCGGCTTATGACTGTAGCTGAGAGCAGATTTTAATGGTTCCACATGACTGCCCGACAGAGTAAAGGAAGCCAATAAAAATTACTCTGCAGTCTGTTTTTTTTTTTCTTCTCTTCCCCTCACTTTTCCTCTCTACCCGTGTAAGATAATTAACAAGAACTGAAACAGAGCTTCAAGGTAATAGAGAAGGATAGGGAGAGGCTGGAGATGGAGAAAATGTTCTTCAGCTTTTCCTTCTGGCTTTAGCACAGCAGTAAAATAGGCTCGCATGTCAGCCAGTGCAATTAACTGAGATTATGTCAAGTAGAGTACACACACTTCACGTGCATATAACAGGAGTTTTTTTTTTCCCATCCCAAGTGGTAAAAGAGAGGCAGTGAGACATTTGGATGGGTTTAATTGGTTTCCGGTGCACAGGGCAGAGATCAGATGCTCGTGTCTGAACAGCCCACAGCGGTTCTTCTTACGTAGCATATTGACGAAATCTAAGGAAATCATGAGTCAAGTGGTGTGATGCATTAAATATCTTTATGATTCCTACCTATCGTATTTTCCGGGAGAGTTCGTTCAGAACGTGGATTGCTCTGAAAAATTACTATTCCTTATACAAACCAAACTGAGAAATATTTCATGCAGTTTATAGTATTCAGAAACAATCAAACAGAATTCGGGGTCAGAATTCACAGCCTATCTAGACATGCACATAGGGTTTGGCATTTATAGAGAGGTGGATTACAAAGCATGCACCAGCAAATTCATTTCACACATGTGGCAGTTTTATTAACACATCAGGATTTAATGGAATGAATTTAATTAATAAATATTTTACAGCTTTGAGACCTCCACCGGGGGTGAGGGTGGGCCTGACATTTATAGAGACGAAAAAGAGTCTTACCATGTCGTGGTCCGAAACTGGCCCAATGCTAGTCACGAAAATGTCAGTCTTGACTTCAGTTACACGCTCTGTTGAAGCAGGAAATTGCCAGAGTGAGTTACTATCAGTGGCATTCATTAGCCCCTAACTACCTGTAAATGCAAGACCACCTGGCTAGTGCATCTGATCAGTTTAAATGAAATACAAAGTATAAATATTCACCATTAGTTTTAACACTTAGACACAAACACACACACACACAAAATACAGCGTCCACAAAATTGTCCATTCAGGATGTCGATAACCATTTCTGTTGGTATTGGTTTCATGTCAGCTCCATTACCCGGACAGTGGTTCAATCTCTTAATAAATTTGAGAATTGCAGTATTACTGAAAATATGCCACTGTGTTCCCATAGCACTGATAGCTAAAATGCATCCACTGGGGCTTCATTTGGAACGTGTGTGTGTGTGTGTGTGTGAGAGAGAGAGAGAGAGAGTGAGGCCTCATTCCTTGTGATTCTGAAACTCAAATGTGACAGCATGATTTATGAATGATACCCATCATAATCCATAATTTCTTCCCCTTGGCTGCTGAACTTCTAGCAGGCCTGGCTTTATTCAGCTGTCTGTTTGATGCCTGCTGCATCACACTGTGAGATCCTCAGTGTCCTTCACACACCAATTCTCACATTATCTCTCCCTCTTTTCTCTTTTTACTCTCTGGTTCTCTCTCTTTTATCTGTTTCTCTCAGTTTTCATCTTTTGGATTATGTTCATGCACTCCCAGTCATTTTGAATAGCACAGCAATAGGAAATTGGTGCCCACATGATAAAATGACATTTAAAGTACAACTATGGGTTTTATAACAATTCACTGTTTCACAAGCGCAGCAGGCAAACCTTCATCAGATTTAGTCATGATACAGATCTTGTATACAGAAAGTCATTTGTCACTTGTATTTTGCGTGATTTTTATATATTTGCGAAACAATTCAAACAGTCACCATGAGAGAAAAAATACATTCAATGACTTGGGTTTACTGACCTCCTAGTCCTGGCCTGAGGCGATTGTCATAGCCATCCAGAAGGCTGTCTAAGATCTTGGTGAACACTGTAGTGTTATCTTTCTGTTCATCTGTCATGCCGTTCTGCCCAGAGCTGGCAAAGCAAAGAAGAAAATTTAAAGTCACAGTATAGAGTGCAAAACCACGGTCACAACTGCCAAAAGACTAAGAACAAACTCAAACAAATGAATCATGTGTCAAAGTCAAAGAAAGAGAGAAACTCCACTACGTAGATGGTGAGACCTCTTTGTCAAAGCACATGGGCAGAACAGAATGTATCATGAATCACATCAAGGAAGAAAATGGACAAGAAAACTGTCAAATCCTGTACGACACTGACGCATTTCATTATTGCCGCCAGTTTAGAATCCACAGTGTGACAATGAGGTTTTAGATCATATCCATATGAGATTAATAAACCTGTGATTGTCATGAGGTGGACTGCAAAGGAAACAAGTCCCCTGACACCAAGTTATCCTGTATTATCCCTGGAGAAACATGTTTATAAGCGTTTAAGTTATTTTCATCACTGGGTTGCAGAGAACACATAACCCTACGCACTCACACACGCCCACATATAGAAACAATCTCACAGAGAGACAATAAAGAAATCATAATACATTATTTATGCCTTAATATGGTCTTTTAGACCACAAAGGCCTTGCTGAATGTGCTGTTTGAACAACATGAAACAAAATGCTTGGAGCGATGCTGAATTGTGAGAGCAGAGTTTGCAGCATCTCCACGCATAAATATTTCAACACTCATATAATCTGGAATGCAGCCCCTAATTACACTGTGTATCATAAAGGCAAATGGTGAGAGGAATGGTCAGAGAGTATGTGTGTGCACTTGTGTGTTTGCATACTTGAATCAGTGATTGCATGTTCTGTAGGCTCAGGGTCTGTTGGCATATGCAAGCCTGTATCGCATTTGTTTGCATGTGTGATAATGCTGATAATACCCCCGTGGAAGTCTTAACAATGCAACGTACGCCGCTAAGCAATCATCCTCTCCCTCTTTTTTTAATAACCAATAGCGTTTGGTTTGATTGCATGCTAAATAAACAGCAAGTGTTTGGAAACAAGCTCTGCTGCTGAATGGCTCCAAGGAGAGCGAGAGGTCATCAAGATTGGTTAGTATGGACCTGGAACGAGAGTGAGGGGAAAATAGTGGGAAGAGTGGCGTCTGGATAAACATGCGAGAATGGCTCAAAAGACATAGAAGAGGGAAAAATGTGGAGATGGAGAGATGAAGGAAGGAGAGATAAAAGACGGAAAAGTGAGGTTGAGAAAGGGGAAGATACTGGGGATTTGCGTTTTACAGAGATGCAGCTCTCTCTCTGAACTGTCGGATTGAGGCAGATCTTAGCGTTGAATGTGAGCCGCTAAACATTTTGCTTTCTGAATAAAGATGCTCCATCCACGTCACGCAAGGATTTGTAAAAAAGGGTTAGAACACATCTGTCTGCCTCCAATTTCGCTTAATTCGCAAGCCTCCCTCTATCTGCCAATTTTAAAATAAACAAATATCTGAAAACCAGCTCTGAAACTGTGGAAACGGTGATGAGCAATTTTGTTTTGGAGGCTTTGGAAAACTCACATTCAAAACAATAATGAATCTGCACAAGCACAGATTCAAAAGGCATAAATTGCATCCATGCGTCGTCAGCTGAGGCTAAAATAAAACACAACTTCCCTTTTCCTCCCATTTTAATGTTTATACTTTGAACATTAATTTAGGCAATGTCGATTTGCCAAATCAGAGAGAGACAATGAAACAGCTTTTGGGCGATAGCCAAATGGTTACAGTCACCTTCTTTCCACCAACACAGGAAACATACCACGACGTTCCTTACCTCTTTCAAGTTGACTTATAATAAAAACAAAATCGGTCCTCGTAAATTTTAGGAAGTAACAGTGAAAAATTTTGGAAAGATCTATCACACAGCAGTTTTGTCCTTGAACTCTTTTATTCCAGATACTGATGCGTCACATTTTCTTTTAAACTTGACATTTTTACAGTGCACACAGGGAATGTGGGTGGTGGGGTGCAGGGGTTACATGCCAGGGAGAAAGAACAGAAAATGAAGAGGAAAAATGTTCTGTGAGGGAGAACACACATTTATCAGCCAGGGGCCACATCCTCATAAAACCCTGTACACCACCCCCATCTACAGGTCATCTGAACAGCAACAGTGCCGTTCACACATACTCTGCCAAACAGTCCCTCTCTCTCTCTCTCTCTCTCTCTCTCTCTCTCTCTCTCTCTCTCTCTCTCTCTGTGTTTCTGTCCGTCTCTCTCTCTCTCTCTGTCTCTCTTGTCACTCGGATATCTAATTATAAGGCAATTTCTTTGGTTGGCAAAATACTGTAGCAGAGGTCCTCCTGATTACTGTGTCTCATTGAAATCCCCCCAAGGTGTGGGTGTGCATGCGTGTGTGTGCATGTGTGTGCATGTGTGTGTGCATGCAATTCTGTATTTGACTTCAAAAGGGGAACTGGATTATACAGTAAATCTTTGGGTGATAATTGCTTTGCAGTTTGCAGTGACAGTTCCTCAGTAAAGTAATCACTACTTTTACATTTTCTCTGATGTGCTCATCCTGCCGCACATCAGACCCTCCATTTGCCAGTCAGTACATCCCAAACCCAGGCTGCAGTTGTGATTAATTAATTAGATCAAATCATTGTGCGATAATGACACAGTGAAGTGCATCATATATTAAAAATAGGACACATTCCATCTGTGGTCTGAGTGTGCTCAGGGAGTGTAAGTGGAAACGTGTACTGCGTACTGTATGGGTGTGTGTATTTTGTGGCGTAGCTGTTGTCACAGAGAGAGAAGCAAGCTGGACCATCTCAAGACATCACCACTGAGATCAACTGCGTGTGACAGTTCCACTGAATTATTCAACCGTGCAGAAAAGGCCGATCTCCTCAGTCTCTCCAGGATTCTCCAACAGAACCACCATGGGGTTGAGAGCTCAAATGATCTCATGCAGTTTCATGCAGCTCAAGGATTCACCTTTTGGTGTTGTTTGACTTGTTATTGTGTGTATTTAAAATGCCTGCAGCGATCAGTGTAAAATGAATGAATCCAAGGAGTGGAGTCACGTTACAACGTTTTGGGGTTTGCTCTAAATGAACGGCTGCCCAGCATTTGAATTAATGCAGTTGAAGTCACATGACACTGGATCTTATTGCTGTCATTTCTTATCAACTCACTCATCTCCCTCCTCTGTGTGTCTGCTTCTGGTGAGGTGACATCTGACACCACAGTGTTGACATTGAAAGGTTTTTCTATACATTGACTTCCCCATTCCCGCAGCCAACGTCAAATACGTGTGCTCATATTTGTGCCAAATATCCTACATCATCTACTATACACAGCCCAGGACTGAAGACAGAGATGTTGTCCCACAAGACTAGTGAACCACAGAAGTGTAACACTGTGGTGATATTGTGGATAGTGGCTATTTTAGCTCCTCATCTCCTCTCACTTCTTATTAACTATATGCAATTATAGTCCTGGAGGTGTCCTGTGGGGATGCCCCAGTTAAAACCACAGTAAATCTCTAGCCCAACAAACCAAGCAATAGGCGAGATGTCAGAACATCACCCAGGCTGTTGTACCCCTGCTTGCCTCCATGGCTGACCGACTGACTGACTGACTGTTTAACGAGATTAAAAGATCACTGTCCACTATAACAAACTGCATTTAATATTTTGCCTGATGCAGTGTGGTCTTCACAGTTTGTCCCTGATGTGTCACTGCTGCCTGTGTAATGACCGTATCCAAGTCTCGATCACATAAACAATACGTAGACCTGCAATAATAAGCATTGTCTCAAAACTCTGCCCTAAGCTCCAAACTGAGTCATATGGACAGTGGGCATGATGTGTGCAGATTATGTGGCTTTCATTTCTTTAACCTCATCCAATGATCCAATATACGACACACATTGCATTTGTGAAATAAAGTATTTGCTTACCTTTTCGCACTCAGCACGCCGTTGGCGGCAAGCAAGCAAGCCCACAGACACAGAAAGGCCGTCCTGCTCCGTCCACACATGGTTGCAGTATGAGGACCTTTCACTGCTGGAGGTCAAAGAGAGAGAGAAGCACTTCAGACTGCGTCCAAGTGTCACATGAGCCAGTGGTCCACCATTAACCCAACATTTCATCACATCAAGTGTCAGTAAACATGTAGATTTGCTAAAACAACACCACAGGCTAACATGTGGGGAGGGGGGGTGCAGTCTCTGAGGGAGACCTTGTTTCTATAGAGATGCTTCATGTGAGGTTTTTGGTCCTGCTTGTTAACATTTCTCACGGATTCACTGACAGCACATGAAACAAACTAAACGGCCTTGGCACATGCATTGGACCATCACATGCCAACTGACACACGCACCCTTCAAATATTTTACATACCTATTAACACCCTATAGACCGCATTAGGGAAAAAAGAAGCCTCTCAACATTTCAAAGACCAGAAAGGAAGCCAGTGCAAATATGAGTTTCATAAGTGGCACTCAATGCACAGGCATATGTTGTGGCAGTAGCTGTAGCGCATAATAATTAAGAAGGAATAACAAGGCGTCACATCATCGACCACATACATCCTGTGTGAGATCGTAGCACCTGTGCACAGCCTCCCCTCTAAAACCCTGCAATGTGAAAACACGGGCACCGCAATATCAAACCAAATCCCCCTAAAATCAGAGCATTTGCTTGCTTCTTAATCATCGAGCTATGATGTCAGCCGGGTCATAAAGTATGGAAGCATTACAGTCTGCGCAAAATACACAATGCTCGCATGCACGTTTCCGAATAGGATCATCGATGTGTCCACGCGAGGACCAATTACTTACTTATGCAAACGCGCTTAAGCCGTATATTCCACGAGCGACCACCAAATTGTGCCTTAGAATCAAAGCCCACATAGAAGACGATACGCCTGCTATACTTGCTTGTGATGTTCCAAGGTGCACTGTGAGCGGATGGGAGTCGTGGTTGGTTGGTTGGTGGTGGTGGTGGTGGTGGGGGCAAACAATGCTCTGTTAAAATGAAAAATAAAAAATAAATCCTTCCGTTGACAAGGATTTGATGAAGCAGGAGGTGGGAGGGGAGGGGGGGTGGATGATGCAGATTAACGAATGGAGGAGAAAATCCCGCACAAGCTCACTTTCTAAGTTATTCAGAGGAAATATCAGCCTCGACACAGCGACAACGCACGGAGCATATACACATTTTGAAGCCGGGTAAGAATTCAGCGTGCAACTGGCGTCCCCGCAAGGCTGCTCCTAAAATACACGCACGGAGATCCAGTTCGTGCGTGGCGGAGTAATTAAGCAAATGCGCGCTGATTCATTCGGAGCGCTGTCCGCGGTGCTGAAACCAGGGCTGCCTCCTGTTAAAACGCATCAGACTCGTCATCTGCTCTCGGTCGCCATAAAATAGACCCTTAAACGATCATCGTTTCGACGGAGAACCCCCCCCACCCCTCCCAACACCTTGTCTTCCCCATAATAAAACTCGTCTTCGATTCTAGCGGCGTCCAGCAACACGAACCATCCCTTCCAAATCCGAGTGAGACTCCCCTCTCTCCTCCTTCTCCTTCTCAGGCGATGAAAACGGAGAGAAATGTCACTTACAGTGGATGAGTCGCGGTGTATTCGGCGTCCGCTTGCCTATATCCTCAAACTTTTTGTGAATATCTTTTTTTTTTCTTAGCCGGACTGAATGAGGGGAGGGAAAAAAAACCCCTCTGTGATCTCAGATCTGACGAATTTTAGCTCGAGGCTGGAGAAGCGGCTGCTGACGATATGCGCAGGTCTCTCTCACTGTTCATTGGTGCTGCTGTAGTGAGTTGAACTCTCTCAGTCTGTCAGCAACACATAAACACAAAAAACATGTTGTGCTAAACTATAACGCATCTGGACCGAGGTCTCTATGTACCCCCCCCCCCCAAAAAAAATATATACGTTTTAGTTCATCCACTGTGCCTGTAATTAAAGCGCATGGCGCACAGGCTGTGTCAGGGCGCAGAGCATCTTATTATAGAATAGGCTGTACCAACCTAATATAAAGACTAGCCCGCCCATTTTATATGCAGCACAATTTAACTTCCACTGCTGTCGCCCTAATCTCTTTTCGGTGGCTGCTAAATAAAAATCCCTTGTTTTTCCCTGCGTTGCGCTTTGTCACTCCCTGACTCCTACGTGATGATTTCCAAGGAGATGAAAAATGACATTTATCAAAAGACCGTCTAGCGACCCAAAGCAGCTACAGGGCTTCTCATGGACAAGAGTCATAAAACGGACAGTAAGTACTTACGATGAAGCCAACAATAAAACAACCATTAATGGATGCTGCACGGTTCGGATACGCGCACGGAAAAGACACCTCCAAAAAATGATTTTAAGAAAATCGTGTTCCCTCACCGGCTTGCACTGATGAGACGAGCCTCTCTCCGCAATAAAATCCTCCACGCGTCCTCTCGCCGTCTCCTTAAAAGCCCACGTTTCGCATGGAGACGACAGCACAGTGTCTCTGTTTACAGCCCAATATCGTGCTGCTACAGCCGCGCCACTCCAGACTGAGCTCAGAGACGCCGCGGAGCGCTGAGCTGCGTGCATCTGCAAGGGAGAGAGAAAAAAAAACCCGGGCTGATGATACCCGGCGTATATTTTTGTAGTCATCTGCGTATTTCAAGTTAAACTACAAATCAGAGGACATTTTCATCACCAGAGGACTACAGCGGGAGGCATAGGAGGGGAACAAGGACATTGTTATGGGCAGTTTTATATCACATCAGTGTAATAATTCACGGTATAAGCCCCCTTTATAAATCACAGCTGCTGATTTGGGCAATATGCTTTTTGACAGAGGAGCAACTCATATCTTCTTTTTTTTTCTCGCCTACAGTTTTGAATGGGGGTTTATTTTCATCAGAGCAGGCACAGTGAGCTGGCAGTGTAGTCACGTCAGTCTGGTCTGCAGTGCAACGTTTCCTCAGTGTGTGTGTGTGTGTGTGTGTGTGTGTGTGTGTGTGTGTGAGTGAGTGAAAGAGAGAGTGTGTATGTGTGTGTGTGTTGTCTCCTTACGCGTGGTTAAAGTAGTGCATGTGCGTGATTAGTTATGATGGACATTGTGGGTCTATCCATCTATCATCTATCATCCACCCATCCATCTATCTATCTATTCATCTATCTGTCCATCATCTATCCATCCATAAAATATCCAGATATGTGACATGGACTTGCAGCTACTCTTCTTCTCCCTCTTCTCGCTCTCTGCTCATATTTCGTCCCCATAACCTGATGCTGCAGGTGCACGCGCTTATTTTAATAATCATAACGAGAGAGAGAGAGAGAGAGAAGTCCACGACGAGCTCCTTCCGTGGAATTAATGTCATTATAATGCGAGGGGAGTATCAATTCAAGCTGCTTCCCTTCTCTCAAAGCTCAGACGCCACCGCTGCATGTGACTCCCGATTTGCCTTGTGAGCGCGCGTGCACGTGCGAGCATGCATACCCAACACGTGCCCGCGGCAGCGCGCACGACTCATAGTGGAGAGAGGAGAAGTGCGACTCCCGTTTCTCCCTCAGTCCTCCTCCTCGCGTTTTAATAAGCTCCAGCTCTGCCAAAGAGGAGAATTTGTTCATGGGCAACAGTAGTCGAGCGACTCCACGAAACAAGCGATCAATTCCACTGAGTTTACTGTTCAAATGACGGCGTAGAGAGGAGACTACTAACATATACAGCTCCATCTCTGTGCAGGCGTGTGCGTGTGTGTGTGCGTGTGTATGCAGGGCTAAACGAGAGAGATGGATGATGGTAATTTAGGTGAGAGATGTGCAGGTTATGGGAAAATAATCACTTGCTGTGAACGGTGCTTTTTGAATTTTAACAACGTGCCAACTGTGTTAAACTGACACTCAGAATCACTGTGTGGCACAATGGGCCTTGTATCAATGACAGCTTACACCAAAAAAACTCAGGTGCTGCAGCCACCTCTGAGTGTTTGCACTGAATTGTGTCTCATCGGTTTGCGTGTGTATGTTTGGCTCAGTTGTCTCAGAAATGTCAGTGTATTTGTTCGTCCCTTTGACCTTTTAAAGTCATTCACACTGCACTTGAACATTGTGCATTCATGTGTATGGCTACACATACAAGTACCCAACCATTTGATTTTTTAAAATTCTTTCCGCAATGTCCCATGGAGCCTTTGTCCAGCACTTAAAGCGCCAGGATTGTTGTCTCACAAAGGAGAAGTAGTCCTTCGAGCAGTCGTGATCCTGACAGGTCCTGCGCAACCCTTTTTCGTTTAGTGAACACCTGTCTTGTAATGAGTGTTAACACAAAGCCAACACTCGCTTACACTCTTTTTCAACCCTTGTCCACATAAGCACAGACGCAGCGGTCTCAGTTTGAAGTCTGGGCTTCGGCATTTTTAACAGGGACGAAAGTGGGACAGTTGGGCGAGGGTTTTTCCAGGCTGCTCTTCACAGGAGAGGAATGTCTTAATTTGGCATGTGTGATGTCACTCGATTGGAGATTCCTGAGGCTTTGTGAGTCTCTACACTCAGGGAGTCGTGCTGGGCCGTGTTTGAGCTCCAGTTAGGTCATGGCTGCTCCTCCATGAAGAGGTCGCTCAAGACCACTCTCCGTCCAGTAGGCAACAGCAGGCACGGCTCCCCTCTGACTGCGTCCAACTGAGCCTATAGCAGGACAGATAAAGAGAAACACAAACACAATACTACAGTTCACTGCAGTAAAGCTTGATTGCCGTTTTTCTTTTTAGCCCCTTGTGCTGGTGCATTACACAGCGCCACTGGGTTGGAACTCTGCTTCCTGAACTGGGACTGTGTGTCTGCTGCCTAATATTGTATGAATTTACTTCTGCCCAGCTCCTGGTGTCCGTTTACTTTTTATCACTTCAATCTGGATGGAGCAGACTAATTGAGACTGTCCACAGGTGCAGCTAAATATGTTCAGTCAGGTGTTACCCACACGTGGTTCGCTCAGAATGCAGGATGGCTGACACCAGAGTGGACCAGAATGCATTGTCAGAAGTTTCAGTTTCACTGATGGACACAGAGGCTGTCGTCCTGCAGTTTCTGTTCTGCAGAGTGACTTGCCTCAATCAGGCATCCTGAGGAATAAATGGGAATGTTGTGTGAGACAAAAGAGTGCTTCCCCTCTGTGAGCTGCTCTCTGCAATCAGCCGTAAGCTGGGATCTTCTCTGACTCACCATTTGAGGCCGAGTCCACTGTGACACATACGCACAGGTGCACACACACAGAAACACATTTGCTCATGTAGGCAGACATGCACGCTTATACAAATATACATATACTCACCCATATGATTATATGCATATGTGTTTACATGCAGAAATACATATTGCACGATCACATGTGGACTTCATGTGCACACCACACATGAATGTAACTGAAGAGATCTTATGTGGACAAAAAAACTAATTATCCTTCTACTTACTTTGGATTATTTATCACAGCTTTGCTTGAGTTAACATTTTGGTAAAATTATGAGCATGTGACATTCAAGACATTCTTATGGAAGAAAGACTGGACACAATCACTAACTACAAATGATCTGTTTCAAATTAGACTCAAACGTATTTTAAAGAAACTTGTTAAAGGAATTAAAGAGCATTGAAATACAGCTTAGTGTGTCTATTAGACTCACAGGGAATTATTCTTCTATCAAAGCTGTCTACATACCACATGTATTAATCACTTGATCCTCTCCCACATGTTGCATTATTATACAGCCTACCAGCATGCTGTTGAAACCAGTCATTACCGATGTAAACAAACACTGAACAGCACTGGAAAGCAAGAATATCTTAGATCTATGTGTTGTTTATTGGGTTATTAAAAGATCTGTCATCCATTCGTATGTGCTGGTACATGGTTAAAAGTTTGGTGGTTGGAAATGCCAATTGTACTTTTAAAGCTGGAAACAGAAAGTCACTTTGTGCACTGCTGTTGAGTTCTGTCAATTAGTGATTTCATTCAAATGTTATGTCTGGAACGTACAATGAGGAACAACCTGTTCTCTCTGTCTTCGGGCAGGGAACATTATGACATTTTGTAGAAAGGCTTCCACTAATGATTATACTGTTCCCTTTGGTTGAACTGTGGCAATCAGGAATTTCACCATCCAGAGGAGTTATGTTAGAGAAGACGAGAGAGTTGACACACATACAAATGTGTCCTCAATATTTATACTCTGCCTGTTCACAATTAAGAAAGTGTAACCCTAACTCGGATGGGTCATTTTCCCCAGTTGCTGTCGGCCAGGGCTCTTAACTGGGCTACAGTTG